GGAATGCAAGGCATGTGATGAAAAAGGATTACTATTCTGCATCAGGTACATACAGAGTCTTGGTTCTGCTATCATTCAGGGAAGAGATTGAGTTAAATATTACTTTTTTCCTACAGATGTTCCCATTCTAGTGAGCTTCTAAGTTGTCTGCCACAAAAGAAATAAAATTTCACCTGCAGAGGCACTAAGTTTGTTACATTTGGGGTAGAAGCTTGATATCACTGTATGTGCTCCACTGGAAGTTAACTCTTGCAGCATTCAGACCACAGCAGTTTGGCTGTAAAGAACAATCTAAACCAGGATTTCAACTGCTGTCTTCAGTAAACACAGGCTCTCAAAATGAAAACATATGCCTGTATGCAGCAGGCAGTGACTGCAACAGCAGTCCTGCCTAGGTATAAATTTATTGACTCAAAACCCATAGCTCCAGTTTCCATGGATATAAACAAGATCACACCTCTCCCCAACTCATTAAAAATACAAACAATAATCAAAAAAGCACTATGCAGGATCACAGGAATAAACCTCTGAGAAGGTGAGGAGGGGAGAAGGCTCAGTGCAGAGCTACTCAGTAACAGACAGGAGCAAGGCATCTTTTTGGGCAGAGCAGAACCCTCAAAATCAGGGCCAGCTGAAAAAGCAAACAGTGCCCCCAGCAGAACTGTGCAGATACCTGTGCAGGGGTGCTGGTGCTGGAGGGTGCCATCCTCCTCTGGCTGAGGGCAATCTCTCTGCATCCCTCCAACAACTCCATAAGCTTGGCTCGGTTTCCTCCCTCCTCCAACGCCTGCCTTCTGGAGCCCAGGGCAACGCAGCAAGATTTGCTCCCTGGGAAACAGCAGTCTGGAGATGGTGGAAGGCAGATGGAACCTCCACTCTCCATGTGGAGCAGGCTGCTTGGCTGGCCTTCAGCAGAGGCACTGTCCTGCTGCCAGCTCCCAGGATGTATCTTTGACCCTCTGCAGATGCTTGGCCCTTGGGAGCCACAGAACACAGGAAAAAGGAAAAGAGCAACAGGCATTCTCAAACATAAGAAAAAACTTCTTCAAAACTTACTTTCAGCGTATTTTGACTGGGTTTTGTGTCCACTTGCCCCTGCATTCATTTTAGCAGTTTCTGTGCTTGCCAAGGTTACAGAGAGTTGCTATTAGAAGTTTCTTTGGAGGCTGAACTGACAAAAAAAGTGCAAACAAACTCCATGCCAAAACAACACAGCATTCATTCATTAATTCAGGACAAGGTGGCAAGGTGATGTGAACTACAGAAAAATCTGAAAAAAATACCCATTTTTGAAAGCCACATGCAATCTTCTGACTCATTTGTTTTGGTCAATATGGTTGCATTCCCTTCAAGGAGAGAAGAGAAAGGACTAACATCCAAAAGGCACCACTTCAATACTTCTTGTGAGTTCAGAAGCATTCATACCCACTAACTTGTGTGCCTGTGAGGGAGAAATGCAACCAGCAGCAGGGAAACTACCAGGCTACCTTCTCTTTAAGTATCCTTGGCTCAGTGCTGGTCCAAGTGCCTTTTTTTCTGCAACATTAAGCAGAGTAACCTAAAGTAGCCTGATTTTAATGACATAAATGTAAAATAATCAAGCACAGGACTTCACAACCATGAATCCTCAGGACTGGCTGAACTCCCATCTGTAAATCCTGCTGGTTAGTTCTATTTACTTCCTTCATGAGGAAAGAAAAAAAAAAAAAAAACAAAAGAAAAAATATTAAATACAATCAGGCTGAGCTGGAAATGGGCTTCTCTCTGCCTCTTGCACAGACTGGCATCTCAGAGCAGTAGAAAGCAGACACAAGGGCAGCAGGAGTGCTGTGTGGCAGAGCTTCACCAGGCTGGGGCACTGCCTGAAGCAAAGCAAGGCTATTGTGGCACAGGAAAGCTCTCCTCAGTGTGAAGAGAAGCAGCCAGGAGAACTGTCTGCACCTCAATCACTTTCATCTTAATTCCTTAGGCCACAAAATATTTGGCACTGACTTGATATACAGTCTTTCAGTTAAACATGCACATGGATAACACTCAGCTGAAAACAGAAGAAAAAAATCAAAATCAGAATCACACTATCTTTAACGGACAAGCTAAACCTGCTTATTGGCAAAGGAATGAAAATCTTTATTTAGTAACAGCTGAATCCCATGAGAAAGCAGTCACAGATGTGCACCAGCAGACCACATACCAGCGTGACCAAGAGGCTTCCTACAGGAGAGAAACTGTTTAACTCAAGATACTGAAAATACACAAGAGACTCAAATGGTAAAACCAACATTGAGCTGCCAAAGACATGTAATAAATGTGATTTTTAATCTCTTCCACCACCACTGAACATCATGAAGCTTCCATGGCTGCTCCCCAATACAAGCATGTGCCTTTATGCCCACCAAGTGTCACTGCACAAGTAAACACACAAGCTCAGAACTGGCTTGGCAATCCCCAAGCAGTGACTCTGTGGCTTGTGGCACATGCCATGCCCAAAACTGGGCTACTGTATAAACACCAGCACCTTTGCTTGGTATGAGCCACAGGATATCCTACCTCCTCCTGCTGTGCAGTGGCAAAGGATGGATGACTGGGGTAATTTTTAAGACCTGCACTTTGCTTTCTGTTCTCTAAGATAAAAAGATTTAAGTTGAATTTTTTCACATGCAAAAAAAATCCAGCCTCATCTTCTAATGTGTCCCCATGAACTGTGCACCTTCCCTGTTTATCACTCCTTATAGCGCCTCAAACTGTGACCTTCCAGGGATACAACAAACTGCAAACAATACATCCATGAAACAGACAAAAAAGGTCCTTGCTTACAAGAAGTTAATATTGGGTCGCTGTGCAGGTTTTACTGGAACTGCCCTCCTTCTGTGAAGTTATGGTTGAGTCTAACTGGCATAGGAAGGGCAAATGTTCTGATTCTTCCAGGTTAGGACAGGTAAAAAACAATCCTCTTGACTATCAAAATGCAGCACATGATCTATATGGTTATTGCTGCTTCTGTTTGATGCATTGGTTTGAGACAATTAACAAGAAACTGGGAGACTGCTCTGAATGAGAGTATCTCCTAAACACTGCAAAGATAAGCAGTAACCATTCCTCTTTCCTCATGTCAAACCACAAGTAAAAGAGCCCTGTCTGTGCGAGTCAGGGCGAGGAGAGACTCAAGACCCAGGTCCTGGCTGGAGGGATCCTACAGTGACCTATACATCTACTGAGCAGAACAGTCCTCAGGCTGCTCCAGGTCTGGGCTCTCTGGAAAACACCAGCACCACCCTCCCCTTCCCAACCTGCACAGCCCAGGGACACAGGCACTGTGGATGGGTATGGGCCCACCCAGGTGCTCAGAAGCGGCCCCAGGAGGCTGAGCTGTACAGCCAGGTTCTCTGCTCCTTCAGTGAATGATAAATACTTACTGGAACTGAGACAGGGCTTCAAGAACCATGAGAGCTGCAGCTGGAAATGCTGCTCCTCCAGCACAGCTCTTGCCAGCACAATGCTCACCACGGCTCCTGGGGCATAGCTGATGGGAATGAATGTTATAAACAGAGCTTCCATAACCTTCCAGGAGTGGAACACCTCTCTTGAACCCTTCTTTGCAAAGCTTATACAACAATATACTAACATTCATAGCACAGTATGCTGCTATTCAGGAGTATTTTTCCTCACCCTTTCACCACCAAAAATTGACTTGGTTCCAGAATTATTTTTAATACTCATCCAGACTCCTGAGTTTTAAATGCTAGACAACCTACAATACTCACCTTTTCATAGAAAACAGTGGCTTCAGATGAGGCAAAGATGCTTTAGGAAAAAACAACCAACCACCACTACCAAAAAGAAACCCAACAACAGCCACCCAGCACTATGCATAGGACTCTTCAGTTCAATTTGGATATTAAATAATTCCTGGGGAGACCTATTTTTACTACCCACTGTAAGGAGTTTTGAGAAAATGAGCTCGTTGCTGTGGAATTAATAATAGATCTATGCAGACTGATATTCCCAGGAGATAAAAACATTAAAAACTGATGCTCCTGGCAAATGAAAAACCAATGGATCATATTTTCCTTGAAGGGACAGGAGGTGTTTCTATTTTATTTGACTAGGCAAGATCTGTTCTCAGCATGTACCATCTCCAGCTAAATGGAAACACCTTGAAAATTTTGTAGAAAATGTGGAGTAGTGTGTAAGTCATCACATACCAAATATGAAGAGCCCTGAATGATCACATGCTGCAGCAGAATGTAGCTCTGATTATGATTTACTTGAAAACCAAAAGAATTCTGCACCATTCCAACCAGAAGTTTCTGTGTAAGTTTGGCAGGAACAGCAGGGATTCAAAATGCAATTCAAACTGCAACCAAAGCCACTGTCAGCTAGGAACAGTGGTTTTCAAATCTCACCTCCATTCACATCTGAGCTTCAACAAGGCCAAGAGCTCAGGGGTGATCTTCTCACTCTCTACAACCACCTGGAAGGAGGCTGTAGCCAGGTGAGTGTTGGTCTCTTCTCCCAAGTAACAGGATGAGAGCAAATGACTTCAAGTTACACCAGGGGTGGTTTACACTGGATATCAGGAAAAGTTTCTTCACTGAAAGGGTGGTCAGGCACTGAAACAGGCTGCCCAGGGAAGTGGCATCACTTCCTGGAAGTATTTGAAAGACGTGGCACTTAGGGACATGGTTTAGTGATGGACTTGGAAGGACTGGGTTAATAGTTGAGCTGGATTGTCTTAAAGGTCCTTTCTAACCTTACGATTCTATGACTCTATCCTTCGAAAACTATTTTACTTTCAAACTGCCTTTGAATGTTTCAACAACTCCAAAGAAACAGTGAAACATTTCAGTTAATGACATCTTTGAAGCCACTCAAGATAACTCAGGTATTTATTAATAAGTATTTACAAGTCAAACTCATGTAATTACTTGCATTTTTAAAATCACGTGGAATGCTAGAAAATTTATTCTAAAATTATTTTAAAACAAATAAATCAAAACTGATTTGCTTTACTTAATATTTATTGATACAAAAGAAAACTCATAACAAACTATGTATGTACCATTTACACTGAAGAAAGATCTTTAAGATCAATGAAACAACATGCCCTTAAAACTGGGGTGTCAGATGAAAATGTTCAATATTCTTTAGAACTCCTCTGCATTAGATGATCTTCAATTTGCAGGTAAAGTTATGGGGAAGAGGCGTCCAACAACGTATTTCTTGTTTCTCTAAATTATAAAAAAAACCAGCAATTAGTTCAAATTAACACAGTTAAAAATAGGCCTTTCTGTGCCATAATATTGGGGAGTTACTAGACAGTAAAGTGGAACAACTGCAAATTGTACTCACAGCAGCAAGGGCATCTGAGCATTCACCTACTCCAGTGGCAAATCAATAAAAACATTAGTATCATTTCAATTATGCTCAAAAGAGCACATTAGCCTAATTTAATTTAACTAATAGTGGTCTCTGACAAATGTGCTCATCTGTGCAAAATCTGGAGCTGTCAAAGCCACACCTGGTTGTGGCACTGACACTTGCTCTCTGGGTATTTTCTTAAGCTATTTCAAATATGAAATATATCTTATGAAGGACTAAGAGGCCTCAGAAGTTAATGTGCATATAAGTTTCATGTTATTTTTATAAAGATCTTGTGTGTATTTTAATTCCCTTTAACTCAGGTTTACACAAATGGTTCACAATCTCTGGTCCGCAGTTCCAAAGGTCACAAAAAGCTGCTGACAGTAGGGAAAATAATCAGGGACTAAAATGCTTGCTGAGAGAATAATACCTGATGCAATTCTCCACATAAAGTGACAGCTGAGGACTGCTACTCCACATGTAGAGTTACATGGGAAAAGCAGACATTTGATAGCCTGGACTAAACAAGACGCTAAATTTTCAACTAGTTTAAAGCCCATGCAGAGAATAAAGACTGATGTTAAGACTTGCAAGTGAAACCAGTAAGCCACTATCCAAATACAGTAAAATGTTTTGGGGTGTATGTGCAAAAAATTGTTAGCTAATTCACCCAAACTGAGCAGTGGGCTTGTCATCAAATCCAGATATGTGTCTGCTGTGGATGGGCTCCTCAGAGCCAAGACCAGAAAGGCGAGGTTAAAGCTGGCACTTGTGACTCTACTTAATGTGCACATGCTGTCCTTTTGTGGAGAAAGGGATGGCAGTGGCTGTTCGGCAGTGGCTGGCGCCCAGGCACACCCCATACTCTTGGTGGCAATACCGGTGGGCAGCTGTGTGACATGGAAAAGACTGCTCTCCACACAAGGGGTACAGAAACAAGGGCTTTCCCAATAAAAGTGTGAACTAAACTTATAAAAGAGCAACTTCCATAGTACAGGTTGCAACTTCACAGGATGTCTGAGGTCAGAGATCCAAATGACTCTGGAAGTCATTTGATCCAACACTTCTGCTCAAGCATGACCATCAAGAGCCAGCTGCCCTGGATTTAGATAAGCTCCTTCCCCTCATACAAGCTTCTGTTTCCTGATCTCTTCTGCACCTCTTCTATACCTCTCTGCAGTAACCACAGCAGTAAGAACGAGGATGCCGAGTGTGTACACCAACACTCTGATGTGCTTTGCAAATACACACTCCCACCCAGGGCATGAAGAATGGTAAAACAGAGACGATGGGATCTGAACTTTGTGGAAAGAACTGTTTCACATGGAAGAGTATATCACATGTGCTTGTCCAGGTCTCAGCTCCATCTCCAAGGGAAATGTATGAACCCGAGGCTGAGGGGCCACTCAACCTTCACAACTCTTTTAGTCTAGACTACTTAGACATCGCAGAAACACTAAAAACCAGGAACGTTACTTTCTCCTGGAATTTACCAGGAAAGTCAAGCAGCAACCGGATGTGATAGGGCACATGAGAGATCCACACCCACATGTGCAGCAGTGGGCACACCTCTGTGCCAAAACCAGCTGGTGCCAGGCAGCATTCCCACAGGCAAGAGGAATGAAGATGTAAGAGCAGGTGAATGCCTGGACTAGCCCTGCCAATACAAAATCAGGGTATGGCATTGTGCCTAAGTGATGGCAGACACACATCAAGATTGTGCCAAGGCAAAAGAAGTCACCAGCACACTGAATTAGTGCTCTAAGAGGAGCAAAAAGCACAATGTTACAGTGCTCCAGGGTAAGTTTAGCCACAGGGAATGGTGCTGGGATGGATTCTCCCAGCACTGCAGAGCCAGCCTCAACAGATGGATGAGGTTCAAGGGCAACCAAGTGGGCCTGAAGCAATCTCAATTCTGCTTCTGCAGCCAGGAAAGTGGCAGATGATGACAATAACAAACACCTTGCCAGTGACATCCTAAGCCAACCTTCTTGGGATTAAAACTACACAGAAGTCTTCCAAAGAACAGAGGCCAAAAAATGCTTTGCATCACTTCTGAGGGTGAAAATTGGGAGCTATGCCAGGCCCTGTACAAAACTTACAGGAGAGGTAGCAAAGGAACCTTCAGGCACAAGAACACCTCTGAAATAATTCAAACACCTGGAACTGAGCTAAAAAATGATTCATTCAATCTTGCAAGTGGCAAAAAGACAGAAAAGAAACCTTTGGTAAGGAAAATACATCCAAATAGGGCAGGAAATTAGTTTAGGCAGCAAGACAAAAAATGAAGGAGCAGATTGAAACTTGATGGAACAGCTGAGATGGAATAGCAGCAGGTGAACGCTTCATCCTGCAGCCTGTTCCAAGAGAAGGAAGAAAAAAAAGAGACAAAAGTGCACCTTGGACAGATACTTCAAGAAGACAACTGCCAACTCACATATAAAGACACAGTACATGACAGTAGCAGAATGTTCACATGGAATTTCATGAAGAAAAGTAAATTACTATCAACATTTCAATAAATACTTAAGGAGACCTCTCCATTGTAATTTCTGCAATAATTAAAGTTCTGTATATGAGAGGGGAAAAAAAGGAAACTCAAGTTATTAGCCCATGCTAAGTCAAATAAATTAAGAAAGGTTTTGTACTTCATTACCATCACAGTTCAACAGAAATGAGCAAGGAGAGATGCAGGAAATCTGGGGCTTGCACCTCATCAGAGATAGCTTTGCTAACTTAAAAGGTTCTTCAGAAGAAAATTTAAAATATTTTCAGTAAAAACAATACTACTGTTGTAGGTTCCTCCTCTTTTTTTTCCCACCAAAACCCACAAATATATCATGCAGCATGAGTGCAGGACTGTGGGCTGACCCTGGCTAGATGCCAGGTGGCCACCACAGCCATTCTATCACTCTCCTCGCTCAGCTGGACAGGAGAGAGAAAATATAAGGAACCATCTCCTGGGTTGAGATGAGGACAGGGAGAGATCACTCACCCATTACTGTCACAGGCTGCAGGGAATCTCAGCTCCAGTGCCTGGAGGACCTTGTTCCTGCTCCTTCTGCACTGACCTGGGTGTGGGCAGAGCTGTTTCTCTCACATATCCCCATTCCTCTCTCTTCCGGCAATAATTACTTCTGCACACACATTTTTCCATTCTTAAATGTTACCACAGAATAGTTACCACCAACTCTGATGGGCTCAGCCTTGGCCAGTGGCAGGTTGGCACTGGACCTGTCTGGCATTGGCTCTGTCAGACACAGGGGAGCTGCTACTGGCTTCCCACAGAAGCCATCCCAGTAACCACCTCCCACCACTATCAAAACCTGGCTAAACAAACCCAATACAAGGACTTAAGCAGCAGAAGCCATTTCATGACAAGGTAATGATTCTGTGAACTTCAGTGGGGTGAGTAACAGAACAAAATGAAGCTATTCAAAATTCTGATAGTTCACTCAGTATAATTTATTTGAAAGGTTAAACAGGATGCTAATGTGGACTCAGTGTGCCACAAAATGAAGAGGGAAATAAAGCAAACATTTAAAGTTAGATTGTCTTTAAAACACAATGGGGCTTCTTCATTGTCTAAAATACTGTTCAAGTCTGGGAGCTGTGTTCTAATTTATAGCTGTAGCAACCTCTCTGCTTTACCTGTGAATTACCTTAAGAGTGCATAGTAAAGTTTAGTTGCTCCATCAGGCAACTGTCTGCTTCTACTAAGAAAATCAGCCATAATAAAAGGCAGACAGCATTTGCTGGATGCAAAAAGGCCTCTGCAATTATCACTTAATTGTCCTTCATGGGCCAGTACTGGGAGTCTCATACTTTCCCCTTAAGGTTGCTCCCTTCTTCAGCACTTTTCTTAACTGTCTACTTAATTAGTCTTCCTTCCTGGGCTTAATTGTGAATTTGTTTTGATTAATTAGCCTCAGAGCTCACTTGGCACTAACTGAAATATAGGAGAAGCACTCCGTTTCTTCAGTGTATAGGCTACTGCATCCTAGGGGAGCCCCCTCTTTGTCAGCAATAAAATTTCAAGTTCAGATAGTGTTTGAAAAAAAACCTTTTTTGTAATTAACTTTCAATTCTTGTAATTACCCCCACTGTACTACAACACAAAAGTGTTGCTAACATAAAGAAAGGGTAAAATTCATTAAATTCAGGCCTCTTCTTCAGTGGATTATACATCATGCTCATTAGCTGAACACTGTAGTTTTAGATAAGATGACATAATGCTCTTAAATGCAAGTGATCAGATCACTACTAGAATCCCAAACCAGGAGTTTGGTTACCAGCAGAGACAACTGTGTCCTTGTGGCACCAACACCAGAAAACCTTCCCCGTGTCAATCTTCTCAAAGTTATTGAGCTTCATTGAAAATGCTTTTCGTAACCTAGACCAGTCAGTCTGTAACACCTTTGAGCACTAATATAGAGCTCTTAATTATGTTTACACCTCTCATATCACTCCTTTCCCCTCCCTCTTTATGGCATGTTGACTCCAGAAGACACCCTCGCACAACAGCCAATAAAGACACCATTACCATGCATTTGCCATCTTGATCAATTCTCATTTCAGATATTGTTACTGAAAACACAGGAGAAGGCATCTTTAAACACCATCACAATGAAAATATATAATAAGGTAAATTAAATAATGTGTGTTAACTATCATACCCATTTAATAAACTTCCTAAATATTTGTCAAGAGTACTGGAATTCTTCAGTTTTCAAATTTCAAAGTCCTTACCTATCAAGTTGCAAAGAGAAAAAAACCTTATCCTAGACATTAATATTTTTTCTGTGAACACTTTCAGACTTGCATCTCAGCAGTCAGGCTGACAAAGTAAACACTTTGTTTCTTCCAGCTCCTTGTTTCAATCACTATTGTTCTTGTGCTCCAAACAGGACTACAGGAGTGCAAATTACCTGTGATTTTACAACCTTCTGTGTTGTACCTTTACTTGGGCACAGAAACTTAAATGAAGCAGATCAGAACTGGAGCTTTGTGAGTGGGCTTAAAAACATAGAGCAGCTCTGCAGGCAAACCTTTTAACATATTCATTTCCTAATAATCTGCAGCCTACTGTTCTGAATGATGATCAACCATGTTTTCATCTTAGAACTGGGGACTCGCTTTGGTTGTCAAATCCTAACTAAAGCTCATCTATGCAACCCAAAATGTTTGCCTTTGAGATCTCTTCTGACTATATTTGTGAACATGTGTGAAGTAACAGGATTCTGCCAAGGAAATGTATCAGCTTGGAAAAACTAAGATATTCAATTACAACAGCTGTCAATACCATTAAAGAGTCATGGTCCATGCTCTTCAGTTAGATGTATCACCTGCAATCAATCACCTCTTAAAGTAAATCCTGTATTACAAAAGATATCATGCAGAGTCTATAGAGTAGTGAAAATACAAGAAATATTCATGTTGAAATGCCTTTTCAGCGGTTATGAAATGAGGAAATAGTTATTTTGGTTTATTGCATTCCCCAAACGTTAATTTTAAATCATCTGCAGATAACCAATTTAGTTGTGCACTTGAAAAATAGAAGAAGCTGTATATGTACCTCAACAGTTTGTTTTATTGGTCTTGTTTATTTTGTCTGTAATTACTCAGCTCACAGTCTCCTATTTTATGTTTACAGAGTTGTACAAATAAGGATGTGCATACACATCTGACTGTTCTGCAATCATTCTTCTGCTAATTTAAGCTTCAAAAAGCTTTGTTTAGTAAAACAGGAACAGCTTTTTAATCAAATGAAACTACAAAAAGATAGATTTGTAAAACCTACTAACCTATAATTTTTTGAAGGGAGCCAAAGCTTTCAAAACTCTTAACTTTTTGTTGTGGCATTACTTCTCAGTTAAGCTTCTTAAAACAAGTTCCTGGATGTTACCATAGTACCTTCTATAGAACACATGAACCTATTATAAACATGGAGCTGAAATATGTGACTGGGCTTTTGTTTCCAGCTCTCTCAATTACTGTTGATAAAAACCCATGAATATTTATTATAATAAATAATATTAATAATAGTTAATAATTCAATAATTCATTTATTATTTTATTATTTAATAAAAATACTGAATCAGGGATATTGACTAGGATATCAGTATGTATCCTCTAGGAACAGTAAGTGTATCTCACAGACAACAGAAAAGGCCATATGTCTTTCAAGACAAAGATCCCAACTTCACAATGGGTAACACTGGCTAACCAACTTCAGCCTAGCTCCACAAACACCTGGCTAAACCACAGTAGCCAGTGGAAGTGAGACTACTCAGCAGAGCAGAAAACAGGCTGGCAAAAAGAAACACACATATGCAGGAAGAACACTAACATCTCACATTTCAGAAAAGGCTTATTTCTTTGCAATATCCTATTTGGCCTGCTGTATACAAAAATGTAGAAAGCAGGAACCAAAACAAGACCAGTCAGAGGTGAAACATCAGCTGCTGCTTCTGACTATCAATTGATTATTGATTGATACACTGCACAACTCAGCAGCCATAGGAGTCCTGGCACTCAGAACATTCTCCTGTACCTCCTCACACTATCTTTAGGCTAATGACACAGCAGCAAATTTCTAACAAGGGCCAAGTTGAAGAAAAAAATTTGAAATTCAATCCAGACCAACAGTGAACAATCCAGGTCCTGCTGTGCACTAATGTTTTAAAGAACAATTTTGTGCAAGTGGCTGCAACAAGTAAAACATCCACGTAACTGAATGAACTTAGCTACGTTCAGTAGTTAAGTCCTACTGTGAATAGCAACTGACTTACATCTTGCAAGAGAATTCAACTAAATTTATCTCCACCTGTAACACACTGTTCTTCCTGCATTCCAAAAACCAGACCCTAATGAGCAGAGGCCAGCAAAGGACTAAGACCTATACTTGGAGCCCCATCTACTGACAAATACTAGAATTGCTGCTAAACCAGAGCAATAGTCCAGGAAACATCCCTTGGCAAACTTGAGACTGCTTCTTAAGTAAACCACAAACATATTCAGATGTATTCCAGCTACAAAATGTACACAAGACATTTCTCTCAAGAAACCAACCAGTCAGAGACAAACAAAACCATCCAGTCTAAAAAGTGACATACTTTACCAAATCTGCCCTGTTCTCTTGGCACTCCCAGCCACAGAATCATGAAAACACAAACAGGTATGCTAACCTGAAACCTGCATTTGAACAGCTGCACTTTCCAGTCTGTGTCAGGAAAAGGTTTGCACATATTAATTCTGCTTAAGAAAGCATTCTGAAGGACTTATTTCTCTTGACCCAAAAGAAAACCCACTCATAATCTTGCTGCCAAGTTGCAGTGGGCAAAGACACATCAGTGCCTGATATGACATGAGTCATGTCATCACTTGTCATCCCATCCCATCCCACCAAATGAAAACATATCTCTGGCAAGCAGCAGTCTACTGAGCTCTACCACACCATCCAACCACACTCTCCTTTATGACCAGGAGCTCTGTAGTCCATCCACATAAGTTACCTACACTAATCCCTTAAGTATCCATCCTTCTGCTACCCAATCTGCAGACAGGTAACACAAAAAAGAATTTGCAAGGTATTTTTGTTCAGAACTCCCTGGCCATTAACACAACTGAAAATTTTTCTTGTTCTGATTTTCAACTGGAACCACTTTGCTGCTGGGATCAGAGACATCACATCCATGGCCTGACCACTAGGAGACCTGCTTATGTTAGAAGCAGAGTCTTTGGTTTAATCCTAGCCCTGTACTTTTTCCAAGTGGCAAAGTTCCAGATCTCTGCAGGCCTGAGGAGTTGAAAGACTTAAAAACTAAACGTTTTAGTGGGTGGGATCCCCTCAAGCAGTGAGACAGCATGTGTGCCCATCTGGTAGCTGGTATGGCTCCAGCTCAGGAAGGACATTATTTGAATCTTACTGACCTTGAAGAGACAAACCCAAGCCCAAATTTTAGAAAAGCTGCCAACATCAAATTTTTATCTAATAACTAAATGACTTTTTTCCTTTTTAACTCTTAAACTGCTTACAGAAAGTTGAGGCTGGAAAAAAAAATACTTTCTGTGTAGTCTGAACTCTGACTGAAAATAGTTTGTTTCAAGACAGAACTAAATGGCAACAGGCATGTTCCTGTTTCATCTTCTCAGAGCTAAGCGTGACTTAGCCATGAATGAAAAGACAGCGCACAACTTCTACCAAGTATATCCACTGTCAGTCTATATATGCACTAACCATAGGAACTACTGCTTGAAAGAGAATGACAGAAAGTATTAGCTCAAATTCCCCAGTCCAAAGGATCTTTCACAGAGGCATGGTAATCTTGGTGTCCAAGCCCTTTCACAGACACAGGAAGTTAGCTGACAGCTAAAAGCCAATTCCTCTTTCCTACTTTAATGAATACTCTAGATTTTGCATAAAGATCATGGCCAAGATTGGTTACAAGGTTAGTGTTCCATCCTCAAGTCCTTAGAAGTTCACAATTCCAATTCAATTTTCCTTATCTCTTTCTCTTCAAGGATAGCAATGACCAGAGAGAGAAAGCAGCACACAAGAATAGCTGTAGTTTATCCTTATCTTCAGCCAGAAGGAACCTTGAAGAGTTTGGGAGACAAATGCTATGTATACCATCTGCTGTCTAGACTTTGCTTCTGGAGTATACAGTATAATTACAGCTTTCCCAAAGGTCCTCATTATTATCCAGGAACACAGCAAGCAAATCAAAAGGAGATATTAAAGTAATACATTTGGCAATGACCTATCACTGTTACACAAAATAAAGCTATCAACAATGTTCAGAGCTAATCAGGCCATAGCTTCCACACAAAAGACACAACTGATAAGCTCCTACTTAAGAGCTCCTATTTTCCTATTCAGATTGGAGGCACTAATCATCCAGCTGCCAGACAAGGAAGGGGTGCCTGTCGTTAACATATGAGAAGGCAGCTGGACCCCAGCACAGCAGCCTTGCAGCAGCCCATCTCCTAGACAACAATTACTGGAATGCAAACAGCAGGTTTGTCATTTAAACAGAGATTATTCTAAGCAGGTTGTACCAGGCAGTTAAGACTATCTATCAGACGTTAGCTGAAGATGCCAACATTTTTTCAAGTGCTAAGCATCTTTAGGGAGATTAAGCATATTGATACAATTTGGAACAACAAATATACCCACACATTTCATACTTTTATCTTTCTGTCACTGGATGGCACAAGAACAGTAACTGATGCAGAGTAAGGCCCTTCACTATGTCATTTCAGTTTGACAGCAAATTACCAATGTTCTTCTGGGTTTTTTTCCTCAACTCTTCTTACGTTGATTCAGCTGCTCTGTATTCAGTTGTAATGTTAGGGTGGACAGACTCAAACATTTCTGTACAGAACATTAAAAAAATTGACAAGTATTTAAGCAAACTTTGCAGAAAGTTCTTCACCTGTCTTTGAGTTGTGTGAAGAGAAGAACACTTTCTTCATTCAGAAGATTACGTATGTTATATCCATTTCCTACAAATAAAAACAGAGGAAGTTTTCCTTAGGAGCCGCTGGCAATTTTTGAAGTTCTGTCTTGTCTTCAGCCAAGTATAGTTTTATTTTATATATTTTAACAGAAGGAATATTAGCTTTTAGTCTAGGATGCCACTCTTACACGCAGGTTAGTGCATTTCAAAGAGATGACAAGGAATACAGCTAGTGTCATCTACTTTGATTTTCACTTAGAAGATTTTTACAAAGAAGAATGTAACAGGCATGAGCTCTCAGCTCTCAAAACACACAATAAAACTTTAAGGTGACCGAATTTACTTTAATTTATTCCTTTAGAAATTTTCAATAAAAACTGCACATGGAAACTTATCTGCAGATCTTCACCTGAGATTTGCATACTAGCATGACCACAAAATAGAATTATCTCATAGGTCCTGAGCATTGGGAATGAGCCATGAATCCTCACACTCACATACAGCCACACAATGAATTACAGGGATCACCTGCCACAAACACTGCATTGCCCATCCAGCCATACTGAGACTGGCCATCAGGAAGCAGGGAAGAATGAAGTGTAGATCCTTATGGTCATACAAAACTTTCAGCATTTTATATAATCTGCTTTCCTAAAAAGCAAATGACAAAACTGTCTCTGCAGACTCACTAGATTTTTAAGATTGAAACGCCAAAAGGCAGCTTTAAAGCACCAAGCTTTAATTGAGCAATGATTGTTCAGTCAGGACACTGTGCTGAAAAGTTAACAGAGAAAAAAAGGGCTAATTCATCATTTTCTAAATATAAGCCTGTCCACAAGAAAGCTGTATAAAAGCTCTCTAGAGCTTCATGAACAGCCTGCTTTAACACTACTATGAAATCTCCGGACCAGTGCGTTAATCCACTGATGAACAGCCTCCTATATGGAATTCATGCCACTTTTATATCAGAAGGACAAAATCAGGTCTTTAAAGTCAAAAAAACATATGAATTTACAACCTATTAAACAAGGTAGTTTGAACCTTCTATATATAAGTACAAAGCACAAAATGGTGCTTTGGTGCTATGGTAAACTGATCTAAACGGATTTTCATAATTTAACATCGGAAAAAAGCAGCAAGCATATGGTGACGGAAATAATTATATTAATTACTAGTAACATTAGGCTGTCTGTGATGTTTCCTTAACATTACAGCTAGCAACAGAACCAGAATAACAAGAGAAATTTACTCTTAGAACTTGGTAGTGTCATCAAAACTTTGATGCCAACTCACATAAACAAGCGGTATGTGTACCCCTGCATTCAACCATTAGATCATCAACCCATGTCCAGTGTTGTGTCACATTCCATTCTTCATCACCCTGTACTGTCCCATTCTCTATTCAACCATTCTGTCTGGTTTTGGTTCTTAGCATGCCAATTTAGTCTCCTGCACCTCCCAGTGAATGGGTTTCAGACACGTGCACTCACCTGCTGGAACATAGAAGCAGTCTCCTGCAGTCAGGTAATACGATGTCTTATGTAATGTTACAATAACTTTGCCACGGATAATATAGAAAGCCTTAATGAAAGCCAAAGGGTTTTAAGGTTAGCAACATTAAAGAAAGGTATCTAAGATAACACTTGCATACACATAACAAAGACAAACCCCAAAATTGACCAGCAGAGCTGCAATCCCTTTTCCCCATACTGATGAAAAATAAGATGCACAACTCAAAAGGGGGATGGGGTCCTGTTTTATTTTCCCGGTATTTCTATCTTGCCTGCAAGATCTAGAAATTAGGAGCACATGGACATACAGATTTAATACAAAACAAAGCAGGACAATGTGCATGTAAAGTGCCTTCAGCAAACAATTCATTATTGTTTGCTTGTTTTGGGGGTGGGGGAACCTCTCAACTTCATGTTACTTCCAACAGCCCCAAGAGATCTTCTGTTTACAAAATCTATTTTATAAAAAGTTTTAAAAAGCACACTTACTATTGTATCCATGTGGACAAACTGGTGCCCTTTTTCTTTATATGGTTTCAGAATCAATCTACCAGTTGCAAAAAGAGATGTATTCAAATTTTTGTATATTTCTACTGCTTCATCTTTGAAGAAGTAAGTGTGACTGCTTGCAGTGTTTATACAATCTACAAAAAATGTCCAGGAGATTAACATTAGTGCTACCACATAATTATTCTTGTTACATGCTCAGTGCCATACATATTGTTTCAGTGCAACATCTCCAAAAGCTAGACTGAATATTTAGCTGAAAAATCAGAACACTTCTTGTGTCTCCCTCAGAACTTTCTCCAGAAGAGCAATGATATTTCAAAACCTCATCTTTTTATGCTCAATGTGGCATGAACATTTTTTTTTTTCTTATAAGTCTACATAATTCAGGAAGTCACATCCATCAACTCACCTACACATACTTCCTTATTTGTTACTGGGTCCAGTACAATGGCTGGTTTAGACGCATCAGCTAGGCTGTGGTCCAAACCTGCAGGTATCTCTCTTCTATCTGAGGATACAAGGAAACCAAAACAAAACCAGAAAAGTAATCAATATAGATTTTAAAAAGTTAATCATTTAACCACAACTTTTCCACAATTCCAATGTCACACATTAAGTACTTCAATTTTCTTTAATAAGTGACTAAACAGACTCTTCAAATAAAGAAAATCATCCATAACAGTTCTTTGAAAATGTCTTTTTCATGGAAATAATATCTGTGTGTAATAGATGAACACTCTAAATCCAAAGGAATTTCCCAGGGAAATGCCAACTATTTATCCCATGCTATTAACAACGGTATTTACTCAAAACTAAACTCTATGTTTTGAGAAAAGTGTTTTTCTAGCAACAGATGCTGAGAGAATACGAAATACACGATGAAGTGTGAAGAACAAGTGTTTCTGTTCAACCTATTGTTGATAGGCATCAGGAGACTTCAGGGAGGAAACATTCAAAAGATAAGCACATGTCCAATTTTCCTCTTCTCAAGAAATAACATTACAGGACATCTCACTGTAAGCTGTAAATCTGAGAACTATTGCTATAATAAAAAGGATTTTTCCAGAGAAAGAAATAGCCTAAGAATTTATGACAATGCTATGCTTTTCAAACAGAAAAGAGATGCTTTAGAATGTTCACAGCAGAATAAATATCCCAAAGCTCTCTTGCAGAATTCTCTTAAGCAGACAATTTTAGCTCTACAGTGCACAGGAAATTTCTTTAAACACAGACAGAAGCAGCATGCTAAAGGGAAGCTATAGCACTTTGTAGGCACTCATGGCAGCTTAAATACTCTTACAGCAAGACAATCAGAGGGAGGAAGGAAGATACTGTGTTTGAACAGCTTTGTTCCAACATAACCACCTCTCTATAAAAAGAAGCAGCAACAGGTGTTAACAGGTGTTAACTCCATAGCTATAAAAACAGAATTTTTATCGTATCAGTAACATTTAAGAATTTGTGCTAGAAATTTTACTTGGCTGACAGGCCTTACACGCATCACTAAGACTTAAGGATGTGAGTGAGAGACTATCTCTGAGGATAAATGTCTGGCACAGAGGAAATCAATCACTTCTGGAAGACAGTTCAAAGGCACTTGAAGCAACCAATAGTTCTTGTACGACTTTATGAACAGTCACTACCAGTTCAGGTTCTCATGGGCTGCAAATGATTTATATTACAATATAAACTGTATTCAGATCAAATATTGATCTAGATCAAGGTCCTGTCTCCCATCACTGGCCCAAAGCAGGTATTCCTTCGTATTCTCCAAAATGTCATAAAAATATACTGACACTTCAGTGGAATACTTTCTACCTCTAACCTGGATCTCACACACTTTATTTAGAGCCATTAACTCTCCTGTTAAGTCTCCTGTTAATATATCTGGTTCTTGTCGTGAAACTCTCTAAATATTTTTATGCACAATATTCTGGGCAGGAAGCAGACAGTGAGAATGACCACCTTATTTTGCTGAATAGCTCAGCTCTCACTGTCTTCCTTCCACACCTTCTAGTTCTTGTGTTTGAAAAAACAAGCAGAAAACCCTAACAAGACCATTTACTTCTATTTCCTTTCTCCATGTCACATGATTTCAGGTCTTTTTTAAACCTTTTCCTTTGAGGCCTCCTCAGTATTCTCCTCAAGGCTGAGGAGTCTTCACTACAGAAGTCCAAGGTTTTAGATGAGCTTTCCCTAAACCTTTTCTAGTCCTACCACTTTATTTTTGAGGTAAGGAATGAAATTTACATGAAACACATGTAAAATCAGAAATTGGCACCAACAGTAATTGTTTTCTTCCTTATTTCTCTAATGATTATGTCAGTCCTGGTTAGTTTAGTGCTAAAACCATATGGCATTTTCCATGTTTGTTAGCACTTGTTTTATTAGTTCTGTAGCTTCACAGAGAAATGTTTCAGTTTCAAACAAAAGCTCTAGACAGTCCTCAAAAAGAAAGGCTCTTTAGCATTAAAACATCTTCCAGAGAGTACAGCAAAAATAATTTGGCTTTTGGACTTTGACTCTCTTTTCTGAGAACTACTTACATATTTATCATTTACTGGCCAGAGAGTTTGTGTTTAAACATAGATTTATTGTCCACTTTTAACCAGCTTATGCACTGTTCTTAAAGCTCTCTCTTCACCTACTCTGCTGTGGTTTTTATTTAAACTATAACAGCTTGAAACCCTACTAACACTCTCCACTGTGTTTTTAGATGTGTCATTACAGGTATCAGCAAAATGCCTACAAGTTTTTATACCTTAAGTGTGCACACCAGCATCTGATCTGAACACAAAGTAAGTACTGTTTAGTTTCTTCAGCCCCTGCTTTAAAGGCACAATAGCACTTCTGGGTATGTCCAGCATTTATTTCTTTCATATGCTGAGAAGTGAACAATTTTACAAGAGGAATGTACAGCATTGCTATAGATCCAGTAGGAGCAGGTTCTTCCTCATCAGATTGTATTAATAAATTATGTTATAAAATTATTTTCACCCAGAGAGAGAACTGAGTGTTTACAGGAAGAAAATCTTAGAGTAGTAGAGCATTTGATTAAAGAGACTCCAAAGTATCTGAAGGAAAAAAAACTGTGTCCTACTTGTGTTATCTCTTTTCTGCTTGGGACAATCCTTCGTCCTTTTACTCTTCCTGACAGGTTTTGTTTCTGGATGCACTAGCCCACTAATCACAAGCCCTCCTGAAACAAAAGGAAGTTAAACAAAGTTCACTAATCACAAGCCCTCCTGAAACAAAAGGAAGTTAAACAAAGTTCACTAACTCATACTAAATTTAAAAGAATGCAAACTTGCACAACCAATCAGCATTTCAATTGAGAATACATTTCCTTGATGCTGAATTTTTCAGATCCCTTTAGAAAGCCAGAACAAACAAAAAGGCTTTTCAACATTAAGTACTTTAGAGTGCAATGCAACTTGAGATATTTATAATAAAAAATCCCTGAGAACAAGATCTATTTTCTCACTTAGGTTATTTAACACTGAGACTATAAAATGTTATAGTATCTGCTCTGGAAAACAATCCTCCCACAAAAAGAAATGCTTCAACAAATGATCCAGTAGATTGCCTTTTTCCAGTATCATACACAATCTCTGACTTAAAAAACCCATGAGTACAGAGAAATTGTTCTGTTCTTCCTTCAAAAATGAAGGCAAAAGTACTTAACATGCTCTGCTGATATTATTTTCAGCTGACACAGGGGTGTCAGAACAGAAGAAAACTACATGGAAAGATGACTAAGTAACTGGAGACCACAAATAGCCTTTTTTTAACAAGTTACCCATTAGTAAGCATCTCAAAGCCTGCACAGCACAAGATCAACTCACAGATTTCTCTCTTCTGCTCTATCAAAAGGAAGCAAATAGATATTTTGCAACTAATACCTGACGACTTCATAGTATAGTTTATGCGCTCGCCTCTCCAATATTCCAGAGGTCTCAGCCGTATCCTTTTTGTCCGACGAACATTAGGTGTGTTGGATGGCATTACTGATTTGAAGGATGAAGTCATTCACATTAAGTAGGAAAGCAAAATTCAGACACAGAAAACATTAAATATTCTTTCCTCTTGTTCTGTACCACAAGAGGGTCAGCACTTTCTAGCTGATATATTTATCACATTGCTATCACGGCAAGAAAATAGGAATCAAGTATTGCCAAATGCCTTCTTCTGCATACATCAGTATTTTACCCTCCTTTTTCTTAAACAATCACCACCCTGATTTGGCATAAGATTCCATTCTATATATCTTCGTGAACCACTCATACACAGACTTAGGAGCTCAAGTCCTAGGACAGCAAACATGCTTCACCTGTGAAGACAAAGCTCTCAACAAAGACTAAGAACCCTGCCTGAATCTGAGGGACTTCATTAGCAACCATGAAAGGCATGGGGAAGGTAACAGAGACTGCATAAGTACATCCTTCTCTTCCAAATTCAGATGTCCTGTTTCCAGAGTCCAGAAAAGCAGAACTTTTGCAACAAGAAACTCACACATTTACATGATTTCTCAAATATTTATCTTCAGATGTACTAATCACACAGTCTCAACTTTCAAGTTGTGTAAGCTGCCATATACGACTACAGTATGATACTTTAGTGTTTGTAAGAAAGAGTAAAAGCCCCTTCAGATCTCAGAGCAAATTAAATGAGACTATTTAAATGTTAAAAATAGTAAATACGAAACAGTTGCTGAGACAGTTTTTGAAGGGAGACAACTAAAGTGTTGTGCATAAAATAATAATGAAGCCAATAAAAATGTAAAGCAATGTAAAGCAGATAAACATGGGACTACAACTGATTGCATGTTCATTGTTCCATCCTATCTAGACTCAGACCACCAAAGAAGTCAGGTTATTTGCACCCTCAGTTTTACTGCATAAAATCAACTCAAACTCTTACTGTTCTCACTGAACAGAAAGAGCTATCCTGACTCTTTTTTTAGAATTTATTTAAGGATTATATTCAGTGCAGGTGTGCAGCTGCAGTGCCAGCTGAAGACTGAGCTTTGGGTGGGAGCCTCAGGCAAGAGGTCATGAACCAATGCTGACCCTTTGAACAACAAGAGGCACAGGGACCTGTGGCACAGCCACCAGACACTCGGGGACACAGCAGGAGCCAAGGACTCAGCTGGAAGGACCAGTAGGACCCCAGACTGCTGAGGACATGGAACGTGTGAAGGTACAAAAGCCCAGATAGTAACTTATTCTAGTTTAAGCTGTTATTCCATTGCTACAACATAACATTACTTAAAGGAACCAGAGGTCTGGAAGTCTTCTATGGGAAACCCAGGGTCCAGCCAGCAAGGAAACCTTGTCTGGCTGTGTAGGGAGTCAAGTGGGGCACCTGTCAGGGCACTGGACCCAACCACCATAAAGGTGTTTCAGTCTCAGGACTTAAAAGTCTGTGGTAGTGGGCGCATGAATGCCTGAGTGGCTCCAGGATGGTGAGATTTGCAAGTTTCCTTAACACAATATCATGAAAAGCGGAATTGTGGCAGTTAGAAAGACAACTGTTGAATAGAGAAATAAAAAAAAGAAACACCAGAAGTTTTAAAAAATAACTTAAAATTTAAGAGATGGGCTATACCTGAAGAAATAACAAACCCTATTTGTAAATACTTATGAACAGATGAACACATTTCTAGGTGTTTGCCTGTGTCTCCTTCAGCAACGTTTATATCAAGTTGAAAATGCATTTGCATTTACACACATTATGATATTTTAAAATAATCTTACCTATTTTATGCCTTGCTATTTCGTCTGACAACAGATGTTTTAATTTGTAATTCAAATCTTCAGAATTATCTGAAAATACATTAAACCCCCCCGCCATTTATTATTCCTGACTTTTATTCAATATGCCAACTAGAAACAACCAAAAGTAACACAAACAGAAGTCCCAAGGATAGTGCTTCCACTAACACTTTTTACTTAAATAAACATATATGAAATCCAGTGTAGATAAACAGTATCTGTAATTAGTTTTAAACAGAGTAAACTTAAAAATTCCTTAAATACTATATACTTAAGTAAATACTCCTCATACCTATCCCTCTTGATAAAGTGAACATCGACAATATAAACTATACACATAATTTTATTGATCAAAGTGCAAGGTCATTCAGATTTGTATCACTCGAACAAATTTAGAACAAATTTTTTACCAGAACACGCACAAAACTCAGTATCTGAAGAAAGCATTGCATGAACTAATAACATTCATCTGGCTTTGAAACACAAAGTAAAAGATTTTGTATCTCCAGTGCTCATGTTCATTATGACAACATGTGCAACTAGTGTAGTGAAACTTAAAACTGAAACCAAACAAATAATAAAAAAATAATAGCCCTCCCCACACAAAAACCCCCAAACACAAAACCAAACTGAACAACTAACAAAAAAAAACCCCTAACACAACAAAGGAAACAAGAAAACCACAAAAAACCCAAACACAAAAAACCCAAATTATCTTGGTAGGCATGATGCCCAACCATGGAGGGCTGTGGTCTCCCAAAGCTAGAAACATAAAGCTGGCATGCTGTACTACACAGTTGGGCAGAAATGTAACCACTGCCAATAAAATCTGCATTTCTTGTTCTGGACAATCTGAATACAACAGAAATTACTGAACTGTCAGTTACAGTTTAGAAGTTTAAGAAGCTTATATAAAAAATGCAAGGAAATACCAATTTAAATATTACCTGAAGATGCATCCTGTTCAGGAGATTTTGTGCTGGAAGCAAATTTGTCACTACCTTCTAGAACAGGCCCGCTGCAATGGAAAAAAAATACACCTGCTTGAACATGTTAAGTGTCAAAGGAACATTACATCACTACCAAGAATAGTAATTTTTTTTCAGATCATGTGGGCTGGATTTTATTTTGCTTTTAAACAAGTCTATACCAATTAGACACTGAAGCAAATGACTACTCCTTAGAAATCACAGGTCAGAAGTTCACAAACTACTCCTCTACTCAGTCATCAGGCAGGCAATGAGTCTTCACACCTCCTCTCTAAAGAGGTTTCCTAAACTTTTACTTTTTTCTCCATTCCAGAACAGAATCCTCACCTCTGTAGTATTACCTTAGAAACAATTTTCAACATACCATAATTATGGAAGTGCTTTAAAGAGCTGCTTTGGATACTCTAAGGAAAGGAGAGTAAAACAGCTTTTAATATGCAGTCTGTCATGAAATCTGCCCCATAAAATGGCAACAATTTACACATATAGCTCCAACAGAAATTCTCTAGCAATCAAGCCACTTGCAACAGAACTTCTCCTACAGCCTTAGCATCAGTACCCTTGACCCTCCTTCTTTCCCCCCTGAGGCTATGCTTCACTGCTTTTACTGTGCCAGTGAAGTTCAGCTGTTATCCACTTCAACTCCAAAATATGCATTTCAATTACCTAGGTTAGCAAACCAAATTTGACTACAAATTTGTCAAAGTCAATCTGCAATAGGTTCCCTTAGAATTAAAGCCCCCAACATTTTCCATAGAATGACTGCATAAGAATTTAATAAATTCACAGACTGCCACTTCTGTTTGCTTTGTTATTAAGTTCCCACCTCATAAAAGGGGAAGATACATGCCTATATATGTGCACAAAGAGTTTGGATTGCAGATATGAGTTCTATACCCCACTTGACACCAATTTTATTAGTGCAACTGTCGTTAGTTCCAGGAGCACTGGTCCTTCTGTTCAAAAATTACACACTAATGTGGAAGCAAGCCTCAAAGGAAAGAAATCCCCAAAGGCAAGAAGCTTATTATGACCCCTTATTCATGACAGGAAGAATAACTAAATTACTTTATTAACTGTATTAGCACAGTATTCAAATCCCTCAAGCACAAATCAGAATTCTGTTCTTACTCAATGTTTCACTAGTAGGGCACAGAACTAGTAGCTGCACCAGCTGTCCAGTTTCAGGGGGTCTCAGTGGGGCAGAAGTAGGATTAAACTAACATTTTTCAGACAACTCAGGAAATTACCTTTCACAACTCACAACCTTCCCAGCTACAAAGGAACCCCTAGAAAAGAAAAAATTATTCTTATTACATTTGGTGTTAAGTAAATTTAATGAAAGGTATCTGTAGGTCAATAATTTTACATCCTGAACAAAACTATAGAAAAGACATTAAAAAAAATGAAAAAGCAATGGAAAGACCAATGATTATAAACCACATTTTAGACCACCTAAACTTACTTAGTCTTTAGATTGACAAAAATAAACATAGCTGAAGAATTAAATGCTGTATTTTCTAAATTTAGTTTTACAAAGGAACAAACTTGACAGTGAAGTTATTCCATGGGTGTTGGAGTTGTGCTAAACTAGATCTGCTATGCAAGCCTCACAAGAAAACTTAACTAGAACAAGTTTCCTCATGTAGGAGACACTAAATATGGCACCCAGCCCTGAGAAAAGAACATTGATTAAACTGCTTGGTTTCTCTATTTACTATTCAACCAGCCTCAAACTATCATATACTTCAACTGGGCAACTGCTGCTTAGAAGTTGACAAGATGTGTTTAATTATCTACCAAGTTACACACCACATTTCTAAGGAATCACAAAAAGCTTACTGTGGTCCATACTGTCTGTTACGTTTTCTTTTGTTACTTTTTATTTTCACATCTGATAACTTCTGTTTTTTCCTTGACATGTCCTGTACAGAAGTGCTGTCAGAATCTGTTTGAGACTCAGTGCCTTCAGAGCTTGAGGAAAGAGCATTATTGGTTCTACGTGGAATCTTTTTGGGTATCTTCCCTGAAGACTTGGCAGACGCACGCTTCTTCTTTTCAGGATTCTTCACACTCTCCATGGGATGCTGGAGTGCTTTTAGAGGAGTTCTGTTATTTGCACCACCAGGTGACTCTGGTGTGTGTAATACATTTCGAGGCTTTTTGGACTTGGTCAACTTCTGAATCACAGGAGTCTCTAATTTCTGATGTAAGGGTGTGGTGCACATTTCATTCAGTCCTACAGGTTCTCTTTCAAGCTCGTCTTCACCAGGTTCATTGTTAGAACTCTCCTCTCTTTGTAATTGAGGCTTTTTATTACTACTTTGCTGGTCAGATAATTTAAGCCACTTCTTTGGACTTACTGTCCCTCTCTTAGATACTTTGACTTCCGGAAGTCTCTGCTTAGCAGTTTGTTTCTTCTTAACTAAATGCTGAGAAGCTTCAGAAGCCAACTGCATATCCTTGGAAGACTGGAGAGACTTTTTTAGTGGCACAGACTGCTCTTCCTGATGCCCAGATGAGGGCATAGGCAAATCCTCACTTGGAAGCATTTTTGTTTTACACTGCTTTTCATCAGATGGTTCTGTTTCCAATCCAGACCATGACAACATCTGCTCTTCAGCTTCTGGTTCCCAGACTGTGCTCTTTTCCTGGTTTGGAGAGTCTTGTCTAAGTGCATCCTTTTCAGTCTTTCCTGTCAATACACAAAATATTTGGACATTATTACCTTTTCCCATTGAACCTGAAGACATATATTGACATCTGAATGCACAAAAACCAATCAAAGAATCAAAATGGGGAAGAAAAAGAAAGGGGAAAAAAAAAAAAAAAAGAGGTATCATAAAACCAGTTTTATCACCACTGGCTAAAAGAAGGTTTCCACTATAATCTACAAAAACCTTTTTGGTGTACTTCCAGTATTTCCTGATAAAAATACAAAGGGGCAGAAATGTTACATTCAGTCTGCTTTGCAGTTTTCAGTGTTTGGTGCTACAAAACCCTTCACAAATAATTCCTAAAACTCAAACCCCTTTCTGTTCAAAGCACATAACCACCTTTCTATGGAGAGAGGAACAAAGTTTGTTGGGTACCTACCTTCGGTGACTGAAGGCAACACTGCTAATTTAATTTTTAATTTTCTAACAGGGAAGGCAAAAAGTGTGGCAAAAAAAGTGAAGACACTGTCTCACTGCCTCTCTGTCTCACCGAAATCTAACTGTGCAACTGAAACACCAAAAAGGAATCCACTGATGTCTATCATCTACTTAATTATAATTTCCTAACAAACCACCAGAAATTAATCCAATAATTTCCTTCCACCTGGAAGGAAAAGTCTGAAGAGCTGTTAAAAAACTTACCAATATGAATACTCTTTTGGCTTTGAGATGTAAGGACATTTTCTTCACTATTAGGGTTTGGATCTGACTCTGATACTTCTTTGAAGTTAAAAGCTCCAACATCCAGATGATCCAGTTTCTGTTTAGTAAGTGCTTTAACCTGTACTTTTCTGTTCTTGACTTTCTTATTCTGTGTCTTCTCCTTTCCAGAAGGCTGAGGTTTAGAAATGGGAGTTGCAGAGCCACCGTTTTTTGATTTTTTGTTCTTAGTGGGTATCGAAATCCAAGAAGGAGAAGATGCACCATCTGATTCATCAATTGAAAATTCACATTCATTTTCTATTTCTATATTTTGATGTTTCACAGGATGAGGTGATGGTGGCAATACTGTGGTTGAATATCTAAAGAATGGAGGGAAAAAAAAATTCATGTCATTCAGGGTTGGGGGGAAATTGCCTTTCAATCTTCCACATCTAGTGGTATCTTCCCAACACCTAGACACAGTACAGAACATTCCTCAGAAGAATTATTATCAAGTTCATCCATCGTACATTCCATATTAAGACTCCAAACAAACCTCTTTCCAAGCGTTCTTGTGCCTACAGCTGCTAAGACAGCTGCAGAGAAAGACGTCTCTGCCCGGGCAGATGATGCAGTAACGCATTTTGCTCCTTGCACAGGAACAGCCTGCTCATGTCTCCCAGGCTGAGGTCCTTCCAATTTTTCAACTTCTCCATGGCTCTTTGCTGCAGCTGGAGTACTCCAGTTATCAAAATGCAATCTACAAATGAGAAACAGCATTCAAACATGTTGCTGTAAATCCTGAGTGCACAATAAAGTACTGTGAGGATGAACAGATGCTCCTGCTAACAGCATCTCACTTCTTGTGAATGAGCTTCCCTTTGGAAACTTGCTGCAACACAGGTTAGCAGTAGTGCTTTCCAGTATAGTAGCAATTGTCCACAGGCAACATGCAGTCAGCATATGACTCTTAATCAAAGTAAAGGCTGCTCAGCAAGAAAAATTCCTAATTTTAGGAGAATGTGCTTGAGAAATTGTCAGGTTTCATAGACAACAGGTGCACTGTCTTTCCAATTTCAGTCCATCAATGGGAGTAATGGGATCAGTGTCAGTCCATCTTTATGATCTACCCCAGAGATTCTACCCTTCAGGAAAGCAGAACTGTGGCCAAGACACTGGCCAGTGTTGCAGCTCAGCTTCAAATATTCCAATGAGGTGATAATAATCACAACTGAAGCTGTTTTACTTTGTATAAAATATTTGCATATTCACAGCAAGAAGAACAATAACTGCTCATTTCTGCTTTAACAGATTCTTGTTAACTTTTAAAGTCATCACTGTCAATTGGATTCACTGAAGAAGTCTGGATGATCTGAGAAGCTGAAACTTTGGTGCACTTTCCTGGAAAAAAGTTTAAATCTATTCTGACAGGCGTCTTTCACTTGGGTACTGCACATATCACCAGAATAAGAAAGAAAGAATTCTGCCCTTTCTAAACACAAATATGGAAACTTCCTAAAAAGCCTGGAATTATTTTTTATGAGTTCACAATCTAAACTCAATTTACCCTGAGGTGGGGAGGGGGGGGTGCACACATGGAATACGACACAACAACCATGTTCAGCTCTACTTACTTAACTACAGGAGACCTTTCTGCTTCCTCCACAGGAAAAGGTGTTCCAACAGACCCACGATTATTCCCAGAGTCCAAAGGCACTTCTGGATGCTGGCATGGTGCTTCAACATCTTTTAGTGTATTTTTTTTTTTACTTTTAGACATAGGAGTCTCTGTTTTTTCAGAAGCAGCTACATAATGGTGTTTTGCAGTCTTCAAGTGTGATTCACATGACTGTGCTGTCATATATACAGAACAGGTTTAATTCTTTTACTTAAAACCTTACAAAATTCCAGTAAACAGTTATTTTAAAAACATTAATTCAGTAATAGTGTGACCAACCTTTGCTGCTCACTGGTTTCAGCGGCAATGCGGGTGAGGGGTCTGCAGACTCACGGGCTCTTTTCACAGAGTTGGCTGACCTTGCCTTGGACTATCATAGTTGGTAACAAATAATGAAATGAAATAAAATATTTGATAAAGCAAGGGTATTCTAGCAGGAATATACATTTCTACAGAACATGACAATGTCTTTCCCTTAATTCACACTCATTTGAATCACAGTTCTATTTTACCTAAATACTTCAACTTTCTATTGTGTAAAACTTCCTAAAATAACTGTAAATCTCAAACAACAGGTAAAACAGTGTGTACGGTAAAAATCTATATGCAGCTTTAAGACATCCTAGTCTCAAGGTAAACTATTTATTATTGCCATTAGAATTAATTAATTTAAAGTATTTAATTACTCTTTATTAGACTTTATTAAGACTTTATTAAGGCTGAGGCTTAGCAATAATTGTTTTGAGATTATATTCTATTCTAACATCAGACTAACATAAACAAACACCATTATAAGGTTGCCTGCTCTGAACCCCGCCATTAATAGAATATCCTACTTAAAAAAAAAATGAAATCAAGATACCACAACTAAATATACAAACTAGATTATTGGCATCATCCTCTCAAGCAGCACACTAACAAGGCCTTCAGCTTGTTTCCAATCTTCAACAAAGTTACAGATATTTGAAGTTATTGTACAGATAACTATCAGGATTTAACCAGCTACTTTTCTACATGAATCACCTTTAAATTTTATTGTCCATCTCATAGCTAAGAACTGTGTCCACATATACAGCAAAGTGACCACAACCAGCTCCAATGGAGTCCAAGGCAGCCATAGCCACCACCAGTAATAAGGGAGCATGGTTCAGCCTGCAATCATGAGAAATTTAACTATCCTGGACAAAAAGCTGAAGAATCTTTCATTAGTAAAAACCCAATGAAAAAAGCTAATAAATAATTCTACTGATAGAATATTCACTATTAGAGCACAACAAACTAAGAAAAAAATAACATTTTCAACAACTGTTACAAATTGTTAATTTATAGCCTACATACTTTTACAGGTGCTCATACAGAAATAATGCTAGAGAATTAAACTTGTACCCACATGAACCTGTACCCAGTGCTACACTATGACACTGACAGAACTTATCCTTTGTCTCTGCACTGAAGTCTCCTTCTCATTTTTCAAAATAAAGGTTGAGCAATTTGGAGAGTTTACTGTAAGGTCACTGCTGCCACCTATGAAGGAAAAAAACAGTAAATGCGGGAATCTTGGAATTGTCCAGGTTTCATTAATTTTAACAAGTTCTAAGGCTTATTAAGGTCATGTAAATCCAAACAAGAAAGGAATCAGCTGCTTGACAAAGATCTTATAAGCCAGGTAAGACACAGTCTTGAAAAGCTGAAAGAGGCTGTTCTTAAAAACCCCGAGAAATACTATTTTTATCCATTTCATTCATATTTTTTACTTCTATCTTCTTACCAGTAAATATAACACAAGAAAGAAAATATTTTTTTTCTTTTATCAGGAAATCAAGCAGAACACCAAATAAGAGCTTACTTTCAAAGCAATCCTGTATGACTTTCAGTATGTTTTGACCTGGCTGTAGATCAATCTTATTTCTAGAAAAAAGAGGGAAAAATATTTTCAATCAAAAATACCAAATATTCTTATCCCAAACATTAAAGCAGCAAAGTTTAACTTCTTAATATTTTAGGTTATTACTTCCCCTAGTTCCAACTTTAATACATTTCCACCTACCAGTTCACTGCATAGATATCTACAAAGAAATTTGTCTACGTAAGAATTCCAGGAGAAAAAAAGTCTCATTGCCACAATGATACAGTAAGATACAGAGATATAGTAAGTGATATAATAAGAATGAAGAATTCCCTCTACATAAAAGAAAACATGCAACTACTGCAACAGCCCTGAGGTAAATGAGCTTTAGGCTGACTAGAGTCTCACCTGAAATATAAAAATTTTTTTATAAATCAGACCTCGAGCTATGTTGCCTGCACAGTGATGCAGTCACAGCACACCTAGAAATGAAATGTGCTGCTGCACGTCTATCCCTCCACACAGGGAGACACCCTGCAAAACAAGCTATTTCTATGCTTATACAAAAGTTTCAGCAGCAAGGATTGGCTTGAGGCATCCAACCCATAAGCAAGTGAACATCTCAGCTGGTTGGATTACTATTTCAAACGAGCACAAATGAAAAGGGCAGAAATTAGTAATTCACCAGTCAGTGTTGATCACAAGCAAAACAACACTAGAAAAGCCATGGAATATTACTCCCATAATGATCACTACGTACCCTTAAAAACAGCTAATTGCATACATTTGGTAAGCTCATGAAACTCATGTCCAGAAATGGATTTCAGCAACAAAACCTTCACAGACTCCTAACACATATGTAAAGAACGTCACAGCACTGCAAATGCTCAAACTCATCTCTAACACTTATCAGCAAGGTCTAAATATGCTGGAACTCCATGTGGGCTTCATTTCTCTACTCCTTGAAGGCAATATTTTTGTACAGGTTACTGCTTCCCCACTCAGGCAGCCCAGTTAGGGGTGGGTACCTTAGGTACAGCTACACCACAGTCTGTTGCCTCAGCAAAGCAAAACCTTGGAGCCTTGTCGCCCCAACAGAGCTTGCTCCTCTCACAAGAAATTTGGGAAACATCACATGAACATTTTAATAAGGTACATCACGTAGTTTTGACATTTAGCTCTCAGACAAAAATCAAGGTAAGTTTTCCAGAATCTAAGAATAGAATGTTTAAATGTTTAAATGCAAATTACCTTCCTCCATGGCAGAATCTTGCTCTGTACTTGTTTTTTAAACGATTCTGTGAAGAAACAAGAATCAATTTTTACTAAGCATGATGACACTTGACAGAAAAACAAGGTATCGAGGACTCTTGAGACATCTTAAAGTAGTGGGAGAGTGGGAGTTATTGCAGCATTGTTTTTCTTAGAATGCCACAGTGCCTCTTCATCCACTTGAAACCCAAGTATTACCAAAGTCAAACAGCACACAGGACTCCACCCATTTACTCCAACTGGAGCAGCAATAATTCAAGCAGCAGCACATTCTCCGTGTAATCAGGTAAAGCTGCTGACCTGGGAACCGGCAAGGATTGTAGATGATAAAATGGGAAGAAAGGGCAAGAAAAATTCAACAGTAAAGCAGAATGCAGCTCTTGACAAATGTGACAGGAAAGCATCTTAAAAAACGTAAATGTTTAGCTGAAAGACAACTATAATCTCTTTCTGATTCATCTAAATTTAAAGAGTATATGCAGTGTGGAAATTATGTAATCCTAACACAAGATAATTCAGCACGTTTTTCTGAAGTTTGCCATACTGACTAAACTTTGCACTTCTTTGTGATTCCCCTTTGGATATTACTTCTGGTATCAAAAATAGCCAAATCTATATGGATCGATTTCACTGCAAATTTTCAACATTGGTTTAAAGCGGCAGAAGAAAATTACTGGTAACATGGGAAAACTGACCAAATGACACCACTTTAGAAACTATTCAGAACCACATTCCGCAGTCAATCCAGCACTCGAGCTTAAACCCCCTTCCCCTCGCAGCAGAATGCAGCATAATGCACTGGCAACTGACCCTGCGCAATAAAGAAATTAAAAATTCCTGTCACGGACCTAAAACAGCCTTTAACAGTTTATTTATTATTGTGTTCGTGTCGCCTTACACATGAAGAATTTTAAAACTTATGCACGATTCTAGCGTGCCTGCACAAGTGTCCTGCTCTTGATGCGCTCACAAGCCGTGGAAGTCGGCTGTCCAGAGGCAGCCTGAGGGGAACAGGGTCTGGCAGACACTTGTGCGCTGAGGGGAAGTGGGCTCCCGACAGAGCAGCCCTCAGAGCACAAATGGCTGTGCCAGCAGCCCAGGTCCCGGAGTGAGCGCGGAACCCCAATTCCAACGTCGCTTTCCTCAGGGGGAAGTGGAAGACCGGCCCGCCCCTCCCCTCAGGAGCGCGCTGAGGGCCGCGCCTCTGAGCTACGGACGGGCCCGGCCGCCGCCCACAACAAACCAGACAGACAGACACACGCAGACACGCACACACACACGCAGACAGACGAAGACACACGGACCGACCGCCCCCGCCCTCTCTTACCAAGGCCTCCGCCATCCCGGACCGGGGCCGGCGCGCGCCCCCCGCACCCTC